TCGAGTCATTCGCTTGCCTAATACAAAACAGATCGTACATCTAACAAATTAGGATTCTATACAGAAATAGATATATACATTTCAGTTTTGTGTCGCGAATAGGTAAACTATGTAAATGTATTTATATGTATACATATTGTATTTTCTCTTGTGATATATAAATATATATATATATATATATATATATATATATATGATGTTATATATATATATAAAGAATGAAAGAATATATATATATATATATATATATATAAAGAATGAAAGAATATATATATATATATATATAATGAAACATTTGAACTTTTTAAAAATTATTCATCTGTTTGCATAGCTCACCTCACGCACACAAATCTAAAGAATGGAATGGTAATTAAGTTATTAGCATTAATGACGCTGCTATGACGCGTAATAAAGTCACGACGATGTTGAATTGGAGTGAAATTAGCGTGAAGGAAAGAAGAAGAAGATGATGATGATTACATACGCAACCCATGCAACAAATACATCGCAGTGGTAGAATTTCAACCTGTGTCAGGGTATAAATCTTCAACAAACAAAATCAAACCACCACACACACACACACACACACACACACCACACACACACACACACACACACTCACACAAACCAGCACAACAACCAACAAGTCGCACCAAAATAACAAAAAAATACAATCTTATGGCAACATTCAGACGTTAATTTTTTAGCACAGGCAGACAGACGGAGAGCGTTGTAATAAACATCAGCAGGTAAGCAAACATTCATGAGAAACAACAAACAACAAACATAAATATCGGCGAACAACAAAACAAAAACACAAAGACACATCTCTTTGTTTAAAAACTCTATGAACGTTCACCTACCTATTCATCAGATACCGGCACGACAAACAACGCAAATAACAACACACAAAACACATCCACTCACAACACAACAACAACAACAAACAGCTCAGCAACAAACAACGACATTCATGACTGATGTTTGCTAAGAATTTTTTAATTGTATACAACAACGTCGTTAAAGTGTGTATTTAATGGCGCATCTAGTCGTACTAGGTTGCATAAATCAACAACTGTGCACACACTCCTACGATTGAATCTTCACGTACACATTGTGTGTACATACATAGAAGTATTTGTGTACATGTACTTAATACAGAGGCGTATACAACACCAATACATTCACCATTGTATTTTACGTTTGATAAATGTGTTTATGCTTAACCTTAATTTGCATAATTTCAATCGCAATTATAAAAAAAAACTCGTACTTATGTGTGCCATATAATGCACCTCTAACTATCTATCTATCTATCTATCTATCTATCTATCTATCTATCTATCTATCTATCTATCTATCTATCTATCTATCTATCTATCTATCTATCTATCTATCTATCTATCTATCTATCTATCTATCTATCTATCTATCTATCTATCTATCTATCTGATAGAATGAATGAATGAATGAATGAACAAATAAATGAATGAATGAATGAATGAATGAATGACTTTCGCCGTAACGTATCACGTATATTAAATGAATAATCTCATTATGATGATGACGACGACGGTTATGACGATGAGGACGATGATGAGGATTGATAATTGAATTTCATTTTTCTATCTCTTTCTCTCTCTCTCTCTCTCTCTATATATATATATATAAATATATATATATATATGATTGTGTAGATATGTATGAATATAAATATATATAAAAGTTGTTAGCATTGTTTAGAGAATAGTTTTTAATACCTACATGTTACATACAGCAAACTTTAGAGCGATATATAAATATTTGATTTTAGCATAAGACGAATAAAAGTTAATAGTTTTATGGACTAGCTTCGTCGCGAAGTTGATTTTGAAATGTTTCAAACTATTAGATGTCTTTAAAAAAATAATTTGAAATTTTTTTATTCATTAATATGTTAATCTATTTCAATAATTTATTCACGATTGTAAGTTTAGTAACTTTTGAAAAGTTTAATAAATATCTGAAGACTGTTATAACCATAACGTAGTAGTTTATTCGTTATTGAATGATTTTGTAATACATTATTAACTAAACATACAAACAATTTTATTGAAAAATTTATTTACTAGAACTTTTAATTTCAAAGATACATCGTTGTTTTTTGACTTTAAAATTTAAAAATAATTTTCTGAATTATTTGAATTCTTTAAAAAATTGTCAATCGTCAACGATGCTGTTGTCTCGTCAAGTGGGTAGATATGTCTTCTCGTTCGTCAAATATTTTCATTTTTAAACTAATATCAAAGTTTCCACATTCTTTCGTCATCATAATGTTATAATTTTACAACCGCATCATCCTAATTTATAATCATACTCTTTTAATCTCAACTCATCGTCGTCCGGCTAACTCACTGTGATGTTAATGTACCCTATGTGGCGTGTTTATTTAGCAATCTATCATATTCTGATCATATTTCTTTACTGTTTCCAGCAATGATATGCTGGTTAATGATATAGAATGCAATTTTTATAACGTTTTTATTCTGACAAAAGTGCAAACACTACTGATAATTTATTGTTTTCAATTATTTTTTTTGTTAGTATCATCGAGAGTGTGTTTATTTAATTTAATTTAATATGGTCTCTCAACTGACCTGCTTTTGTCATAACCACCATAATTGATTATTATGTAATGCGGATTTCGATGTTAGCTTCGAATTGAATGGCGAATGAAGGTCTTGCGTCACTTCAAGACACTATCATAGTCAATATTTACAACAACAGGAAAACAACTAACAACAACCCAACAACACAACACAACAACATATAAACATCAACAACGCAACCGTTCAACTGCACTCAAGCCTATTATATTTTTTTAATATTAGCATTATCAGTAGGAAAAAAATTATTAGTGACATAACGCGCGCTTACACAGCTGATAAAAATTATTATATAAATTTCCGGGAATTATTTCGCAGCAACCAGCATTAAAAAAACTGTGCAAGATATTTAATTTTTAAGTAATTATGAAAATTTTTTAAAACTGACTTTCTAGATAAATGTTTACAGAAACGATAATTGTTTTTAATGAATTTTTTATTAACCAATATTGGGATTTTTTTTAAATAATTAAACTTATCACTGATTCAGTGTACATAGTTTGAAACATTGTTCATGATTTGTTTAAATAATTTAATTGCTCTTAGATGACTTAATTTAAAATGTTCGTTCACTATTTAACTTTTCAGATATCTGAGATTGACAGACCTTACACTCAGCAGAGATTTCATACTTTCCACGGTTTTCAACACCATCAACAACAACATTATCAACAACATCACCAACATAGCCAACAAATCCTCCTCCGACAACAACAACAACAGCAGCAGCAACTCACACAACAACAAAACAGCAAACACCAAACTCCAGATCTCATAGAACAAGATTCAGAGTTATTAAAAAACGGCGTCATCTATAACAGCAGAGCAATCAACAGTTTTAACTGCAGCGAAGACAACAAAAATACAATAAACCCGAGCAAAATGATCAACAACAAAGTCGACGAAAACCTAGACAACAACGACAATCATTCAGATGATATTGCGGACAGTTTTACTAACACAATCGCTGACAAATGTTCAAGCGACAATAATATTCTGAATGAAAACCGCCAATTTCCAATCGAAGCAAATGATAAAATGCCCGAAAGTGTGAAAAACTACAAAGCAAGCCAGTGTAAAACAACATCTTCGTCACCGTCATCAACAACATTACCAACAAACCACAAAGAATACGACTACAAACATAAGCTGATCTTAGCGAAAAGTTTCTTAACAACAACTCCTAGTACCCGTTCTCCCGACAATATAACCAGCAACAAATCAGACATTGTTGGCCAACCTGAGAACAATAATGCTGACTCTAACCAGTCGCTCAACGAAACACACGAACGCAGATCAAACAACTCAACTCCTGAATCAAAAACTCAAGATTTCTCACCTAGCACGCCACTTGAAACAATAATCGATCAGTCCAGAAACTCCAATAAAGACATTCCTTCAACAAAGATTGAGTTTAAAAATGTAACATCTTTCACATCAGCTAGAGGATCTTATCATAAAGTAGAAGGAGGAACTGCCGATAGTGCTAGTTTAAACAATGATAATCCAAACGAAGACAACGATGATGATGACTATGATGAATGCAACTCCGAGATGTCTGAATCACCTGATCAAGGTCGAACTGAGAAGTTTGGTTTTAAAAAAGAAAGATTAAACAGTCTCAACACAGACAACGAATCCAAAGACGCTGACGACATGGATGGCATCGACGACGATGACGAGAATAATGTCGATGTAGACTGCGAGGGCCGTAAAATGCCAGATCTGTTGTTGCAGCACGCTTCAACTCTCAACCATCACCATCCTCTCTACAATCCTTATTTGCAAAAGGCTTACGAAAACTACAAACATTTTTCTGATGCTGGTTTGAATCTCCCTAAGAAAGAGCCTAGTCAAGATGGGTTTCAACTATCTCCTTCAAATCAACATGCTCTCAAACTGCCGCAACATCCTCTGGCAAATCTTTGGCAGCAGTACAAATCTAACAGCAACAGCACTGACAATTCATTCAATGAAAATAACCTAAATGTTAGTTCTGGCTATAAGCCTGACACCGCACCATTGCCAAATAATTCTTTTGCAAAATCTAATGATGGAAATGAAAGTGAAAGTAGTTCATCGAGTAACAAAAGAAATATTTTCTGCTGCCATATTTGCTCTTTTGTTGGTGAGAATCATTACATAATTAAAGTGTTTTTTCTCGATAACCTTTTATATTGTATGTGCATATGTAACATTTTTGAATTCTTGAATATCTGATTTTTTTTAAAAAGTTTTTTTTATGATTTTACCAAAATAATTTTGATTTGGTAATCATAAACAAAAATATGTTTTCTAAATGATTTTCAAAATTTAAAAATGTTAGGCACCACAGAAGAAAATTTTAACTCGCACATGACCCAGCATTTTGAGCACCAATGCCCACATTGCACCTACTCATCCAGAACTGAAGGCAGGCTGAAGAGACACATCAAAGATTTCCACTCTAACGAAGATTCCATTTATACCGGTTAGGACAAATGTTTATTCCGTTAATATTTGTCAACTTTTTCAAACTATTACAATTTATTGTATTTATATTTCATTTGTTTTGTAAAAATATTGTTTTTTTTTAATTAATTAACGAATTTACAATCTTTATACTGATTTTCAGGGCAACATAAGGTTAAAAGTAGTGCTCCGAAGAGAAAGTGCAGATATTGTCAATTTTACACATATGATCAGGTCAGTTAATTCACTTTCATCTTTGGGCCCTCATATTTGTCAAGTAATTTACATGCCATTTGTGAATAAAAAAATCTCAACATTTGATTTGTATTACAACAGGTAGAATTTTGGGTTCATTTGAAGAAGCACATCAAGCCTGAAAAGTTGCTGGAGTGCCCGCACTGCGAATTCGTTACCGAACTGAAACATCATTTAGAATACCACATTCGGGTCCATATAGGTTCAAAACCGTTCAAATGTCCAAAATGCAATTACAGTTGCGTGAACAAGTCCATGTTAAACAGTCACATGAAATCTCATACAAATGTTTACCAATTCAGATGCAGAGATTGTAATTATGCTACTAAATACAGTCACTCGTTGAAATTACACCTTATCAAAAAAAAGCATCTAGCCGATGTTGTACTGAACAGTGACGGTAGCTTGCCTGCAGATGGAACGGGTCATTTTGATTCCATCAACAGAAGAGGACCGCCCAGAGGACCGCGGACGATGAAAAAATCAAAAGGAATGGAAAATGCTTTTGCGATGGGACCACACTTGTCAGACCCATTTAAGTTCTTGACTGATCCTAGAATGCAATTTGCTGCTAAGCAAAGCTCAGATGATTATTATTGGAACGATCCTCATCGAAGCAGATCTCCTTCTGAAACTTCAACAACTTCGAAGGATGAGAATATGATTATGTCAAATAAACCATCATTTCCGCCATTGCCAGGCTTATATTCAGTGCCACCAGCGTTGCCAGCAAGACCTCCACCAGTTTGCTTGCCGAGGAGATTGTTCGACTGTAGTTTTTGCATTGAAAAGTTTACTACTCCGATTGAGTTGAAATGTCATGTTGAAGAAACTCACTACAGAGATTTAATGATTTTCAAATTCAACCAACCAAAACAAAGTTCACCATTTTTAAAAAATCTGCCAATTAAGAACGAAAACTCAATTTCATCTCCAACTAAAAGTGAACTTCAGGAAGAAGTGGTAACTAGTGTTAACAATGTAGCTTTAGATCTTTCAAACGCATCGAAGCGCAAATTAGACGAAGACAAAGATTCAGGACATGCCGACTCTCCTTTCTCTGTCCACAGCTCCCCAGACTCGAATGTTAAAAAACGAGCTAGAAAGGGTCGAGCTTTTAAACTTCTAACCGAAAACTCTGATCAACCTGATGAAGAAGAAGTTTGCAATAGCACTAGCGTTGCTAACCATAATAATGATAACGTTGATAAGAACGTGGTTGTTCAGAAAGAGGAAAAAAGATCAAGCCCGCCCTTAACGACCACCTCAACCGAGCAAAACCGCAAACTGATGGTGGATTCAAGTTGGCATATCTGCCGCCATTGCGAAATGGCATTTGCAGATCAGATGACTCACAGACTGCACATGGGCTATCACGGTTACTTCAATCCTTTCCAGTGCAATGGATGTGGTGAGAACTGCGTGGATGCATTCGACTTCATGTTACATCTCATGTCCAAAGCTCACAACTAATATTTCTTCACTTCGAATTCGTTGTTAAGTATTTGTCACAACTTGAATGACCTGGTTTAGCTTATTTCTAAGTTGATACTATAAACAAGACTAATAAACTTAATTTAATAAAATTTCAATGAAAATGTAGGAGTTGAAATTTCTTTCATCCATCTGATAAAAGGCTTTCACGACTTATATTTACACGGAAACCAAACTGACTTCAATCTGCTTTCAGGGTTTAACAAATATTTCCACATGATCTCTCAGCAAATCATTATCTTTAAAATCAACTATCATGTCTATCTATGCAAATCTAAAATGAAATTACATTTAAGATTTCGAGTCATTAGAATATTTTAATAAGAATAAATTATTTTTGTGTACTCGAAGCTTCAAAAAAAAAAAATTAAAATGTTATATTATTGTCATTAATCTAAGTGTCAATTTCCAATTAGATATCATTACGTTCATTCCACAATAACGTATTAGCACGATTTTATTTTTTTTACCGTTTAAACTATTCCATTTTCCTATTAACGTCAATATATTACGCGTTTTGATATGTTATATGTATATGGTGTGGGTCATATATGTTGTATGTGTGTATATATATATATAAATATAAATAAATAAATATATATATATATTTAAACACATAATAGCATTTAATAATTTTTTACTTTTAAATTTCCTTAATGTTGTCTGTTATTTTAACTAGGTAGCTTTCTCTTTCGAATTTTCCTTTCATCGACTATTCGACGTAATTTAACTGATTAGTGATTCTTCGTTATCCATATCTTTCGTCGTTTGAAACTGTATTAATTTATGTTAATGTTTGTCAATTTATGTTAATGTTTGTTAATTTATGTTAGTTTTTGTTAATTTATGTTAATTATTAATTGCGCAATTTATTGTTACAATTTATTTTTTAATGTATTCATTTAACTAGCCTGGAAACCACATTTTCTAATTTATTTAAATTGTAATAATAAAAATAATATTTATTTATTTATTTATGAATATTTATTCATCATAATCAAACAATTTTTGATGAACTCATTTCTGTTTGTTTTTGCAAGCTCACTTTTGTATAGTTCAGTGATCGATCATCCATTTAATCATCCCATTAATCAATCCATCATTCCTTGCCAATGAAACTTATTATAACGAATACATACACTCATATACGTGTTTGAGCCTCCATGCTTATGCTTCACCCATTGGTCGTGTTTTCAATATAATTATTATTTCTTTATAGATCCATGTACACATACAAATAAACATACATACAGAAATTCATACACACATATACCTAAGTATATATACATGTATATATAGTATAAATGTTATTATTGCGATAGAAATATTTTATTCAGTCCTCAACAAGGAAAATTTTGCTAAAAGGTCAAACACATTGTACATCAATCATTCCCCACTGATCCAGCAATTTTATTGTATTTCACTCAATATGAACGAACAAGCTCCTATATATATATATATATATATATATATATATAATATTTATATATATTATATACACATACATTTATTTATTCATATATATATATATATATATATATATATGTATGTATGTGTAATACATGTATGTTATTTGTGAATATATGCATAAGATTACTTATAATATATACTACATTCTAGTTATATATGTTTTTTTTTTTTTTTTTTTTTTGGTTTAAATTCAATTTATTTTACTTATCGAATTAGAAGCTGACTTCAATTTTATTTTTTACTTCCGTATGCAACGATATTTGTGACTGAAGATGTGAACGTACATTCTCCTGGGAAAAAAACCCCAAACAGTTTGCAATAAATTTGTCAATGGATTTTCATTCAATATTTAAAAATCATTTATTGATGGATTGTCTTGAAGGTACGTACTCGAACTCTCGTTCAATCAGATCCTTTAAGAACATTGTCGTACGAGGAATTTTTTATTCTTTATGTTATTATTTTTATATTTAAATTGTAAATGTCCTTTTTCATTTTTAAATTTTTTCGACTTTCATCTATTCACGTTAAATTAAAGACTTAATTTTGTTTTATTTTTATTCAAAGAACAGTTTGTCTGTAACGTCTGTTTGTGAGACTGGTATCATCTATCTTTCTGTCATATGATATTTAATATCATTACTTCATCATTCAGACAACATTATTTTTTTAAATGAAAAGCTTTCTACGCAATTTATGCAATTCGTCGTAATCATCTAGTTTCAAACTTCTGTTTACGAGCAAATCTATTTGGTTATTTTCTAATATATTCACAAATCACTTTGACGCAAAAATTGTTCCCTAAAATTATGACTCACCACATATTAATAAGATCCGTGCAGATATCTAGACTCATGCATGCGTGTCTACATAGTTGAATGAATAATTTCATCATTTCACACATCAAAGTTGAAGACCAATCTGATCTTTTTCTCATTTGGTAAATTACCAAGTTTAGATACATGATTGCTTCTTTAAAAATGAATAATTTCGAAATGTTGCAGACAGGTGAACAATGCCAATAAAAAAGTGTTCATTCAAATAAACATCTCAATCCGTGAATGAACTAAAATAGAAAAAAACAAGCCTACCTAAATATATCTTCACCACACACACGAACACTAGACACACACATACATACACTTTCATGCATATGCAATACGAACAACTTTAACACCAGATTATGGTCACAGAAAAATAGTCACGATTCAACACACTTTCACGTACGCACACACCATGTATTAATAATCTAGAACCTACACATACGCACATACACGTACACACACACAGTGCCTGCACATTTACATTACATTACATACACTGAAACACGTGCACATGAATTTCGAAATATTCACATCCATACAAATTTTCAATTATTCAGTTTGAATGACTAACACAAAAACACACATACAAACCCACACACATACACTTGAACATACACAACACACACATTATATGTATATACATATATACATACATACATTTATACATATACATACATTGATATACGAATATAGGTGTGGGCTTTTATATATTTAATACACATAGATATTAATTTAGATGCAAATGTCAATTAATCGTTAATAAGTAATGAAAGGATGTTTGTTTCAACACATATAAACGAAGTAGATTTTGTTGTTTCCAACGCTTGATTGTAAAATATCATCTCTTTGAATTGTTGAATTGAAATTTGGAATGTCATTGCAATTGTACCAATATCTGAAAAACTATTTAAATTATTTCCGATTTGTCTTCAAATAAACTGAGAACCAATGCTAACGCGTGAAATTTCTTTTTGTCAAATTAGAAAACAAAAAAATTATTGAATCTTTTTAAAATGTCAGGTAGTTTTGAGAAAATAATATTCAAAGTGAGAATTATGATCGGAAGAATTATCATTTCAAATTCAGTGTGCAAATTAAGAGTTTTAGTGGCGAACTTACAAGCTGATGAAAAAACGCATGCAGAAGAAAATAATTGAAAGTATAAATAAATTAATAAAAATGAAAAAAAACGAACAAATAAATTAATGAAAGAAAAACAAACAAATTAGTGCACAAACAAATAAAACTATTACACCAATTTTTATTCAATTATTAGTATTCCAGCTATCACTCTATTTGAAATAAAAACACCTTCTCGTAAAAGTACGGACGTGAGTACGTGCGCACTCGAGTACAAAAAAGTTTAAGTTAGCCTGAACTTCAGTACAAATAAACATTGGTACACAGTGAGACAAAGATGAAAACAAACAAAAGTGCATTCAAACAAACATGTACAGACATAGCAAGAAGCACACGCACACAGCAAAGAATGTACCATAGAAGTGGTGGATGACAATAAAATTTTTCTGCTTTTTCAGATTACCATAGTTAGTGGTTTATACTTTCACAGATAAATTAAATCGTTGGAAATCACGCAAGAACAAAAAATACCACATTAACACTCATGTGTAATTCCACGCACACCCACATGTAATTTTGCAACCATCAAACTAACGAGAAACACTAGACACACATCACAAACAAACTTCACATAAACACACAAGTACATGAATATAATGCGTGCAAAGAGTAGTAACTAGTATAAGCAGAAGAAGAAACGCATGCATAGTCAAGTTTTCCAAAGAGGAAGAATGTTTAGGCGTAATATTTTCGGTCAAAAACAGTTAACAATTATTATTATTAATGTTGAAGGTACTGATTGCATTGCGGTATTAGTTGCAATTATTCTATCAGATTGTAATTAGCGATAAATAATGCAGATGATTGGTGGAGAGCAAATAAAGAAGTAACTAAGTGCCGACATGTTAGTCGAACATTGTTCAGGTTCTTCAATATGAGTCACATATTTTTTTCTTTAAAAACTTCAGTAAGCATGTTCAAACAAGTTGGTTAAATTTGGTGAATCGTTGAATCATTAAAGAAGTTGTGACAATGATTCAATCATTCGAATGTTACGCTTCAATGTTACGAGTGAATTGCTCAAATTGTGAACGACATCACCCACATCAAACCTTACCTCACTTCCTCATTATACACATCAAATGTTATTGATTGTTTACCTTATAACAGTTAGAAATGAATGAGCGTTATATTCGTATTTTAAGATTCAAACTTTAACTAAGCATTCGTATTTCTTTCAAATACTTTATTCATATCAAACAACTATTTGTGTTCCGTCTTTAGTGGGCAGGGAACATGTCCGAAGAATTATCGTTGCAAGTTGAAAGCACTTCCCCTTAAGTAAGAATGTGTGTGGAAATACAACTGGCAGAGCACATAAAACCATAGGGTTAATGATAGAGTTTAAAAAAACAAACGTGTAGACGATGATCGCTAGTTGTGCAGCTCCACAATTAAGGAAGATGTTGTAGGTGCAAATCAAATCACGTGATACAGCGGAAACAATCGCATCTTCTGAACAGTCGCATCAACGCTAATCAATTAAGCTGGTAATATTCGATCTAATTTCAAAACATAAATATAGAACAGTTAGAACAAAAAGAGATATTACATCAAACCATTTTTAATGCTTTTAAAGTGGCTGTTTTCTTATACCGGTGTTGTGTTTTTAAAATTGTAAAGCAAAATTTACATTTTTTGTAAGTTAGAAGTCGAGATCGGAAAATTCTCCAATGACCAAGAGTCGGAATTGGAACATTTTAACCAAGGAGTCGACAGCTGACAACATTTTTTTGACATTAAGTGAGTAAAACTAAACATTATTAAATTTCATAAAATTTTCTGGCCGCTAGTCATTCAGTTGACTTTTGTAATAATTAATAACATTAGTTAGCGTCTCTAATGTAAACACATTCATGCTCATTAATGTAAATATACACCGTATTTTTAACCTTTTTATAAAACAACAATGAATTGGATATTATATTCATCGAAGCTATGAAATTATATATCGCACTAAATCTAAACACAAGGCAACCAAACTTCTGGCCAGCCACCGAGAAATTTCTTTAACCAAATATAAGCTGGCAGTGAGGAACACCTAACAGGTGCATGTGCATATCATTATATCTTAAGCCTAATCGTCTGAAAAATCTATATGGTACGGTTTGGGCAAATATAAGAGTAGAAGGGGAAGAATCTGAATGGTTCCAGATAGAAACTGGTTTCAGACAAGGTTGCATTCTATAACCGATCTTATTCAACATCATTCTGAACTACATACTGAGAAGACTGGAAAAGCTCGAGAATCATGGAAGCGTGGCTCCGATATGCATGATGCAAAATACGCAGATGACACATACCAAATGGCTGAATGTCTTCTAAGGGCAATGGAGCTAACCGACGTTTTACAACAGGAAAGTAAAAAATTAGGTTTGAATATAAACATCAAGAAAACAAAAGTAATGCCAATCACAAAAACATAAAAACCATGGCCACAGGTGAAAGTGAATGAAGAAGAAATAGAAACAGTATCAGAATTCATCTATTTTGGAAATCATATTAACAAGACAGGTGGAATAGAGGAGGAATTGAAGAGAAGGAAAACTCTAGCAGGAGGAATATTTTAGAGATAATGCACCAAAGTTTTCAAAAGACATGATACTGGACATAAAGTCAAACTAAGGACCAACAAAGCTATAGTGGTCTAGGTTTTGATATATGGGACTGAGTCGTGGGCATTGATGTTGAAATCTTAGATTAAAATAACAACCATTATGATTTACGATTAGCCGAGTCAACACTCCTAAAACAAAGATATCCGATAATAAATATTCTAAATATTCAACAACGATAGAAAAAAATCGAAAAATTAAACCGGAAGTTAGCTAACGCGGAACATGTTGTGATTTTCATCAATATATATATATATGCATGACGAAAATTAACGAAGGTATGGATAAATGAATATTCATTTGATAATGAGCGATGTTCTACAAGGTTCTACGATGTTCTACCGTTACATATGAAACAGTCAAGAATATGATGTTGACAGCAGATGATTTGCAGTTCTAAGAGTTTCTTTTTATCAAACAACCTTGGTTGTTGAATAATAATCAAAATTTTGCTTTCAATATTCCAATTTGTGATTAATATGTTGGTGCTCGTTCGCAAATTTATCAAAAAAATATTTTATTAAATTATCTGTTATTTGACGTCTTGTTCAGTAGATTTGTAAGGTAGAGTTCAATTCTAACGCTGCCAACACGACTTCTCTTTATATATTATCCACCAACACTGGACATTTCTGACCTGAGCTTAATAGATTCAGACAGAATAAATTCTATAATTAGATATATGACGTTCAATGTCATGGAAATAAATGCTTTAGCGTTAGAGACTTATTAATCTGCGCAATTTAACTTTCTATTCTGCTGAATTATCACTGTACAACTAATAACCCACTCGTAAACCATATATATTTTATGTGAGGCTAGGGTTCGTGGTTTAAAACTAACACGACAAAAGACGAACGATATGTTAGAATTTTATTGACAAAGTACAAAAAACACCCATTTGAATGATATGGCTCGAGACACACAAGCATGTAAGACATCTCTGCAGGAATCCAGTCAAGCCTGTCACCCATCTATGTAATTTTTATGAAAGCCAAAAGCAATTAAAATTGAGCTGGAAATGGAATCAGGTGGGAAAAATAAATTAAAAATAAAATAAATTATGATGTACATATATATATATATATTATGTATAAAAAAACTACCAGTAGATTTGTTCCATATGACACACAAACAGAATATAAAATGTCTTGATAAATTGAAATCCGCCCTGATCCGAAAGGGCTTGCGAAATAAATAACTAGACGACTACGACGAGGAGGAAGTTAGAAGTGTTCTTGGAATTGTTAGTGTATTGATTCAAATGTTTCAACTGAGGCCAATAATTACATTTACTCAATGAAATAAACAAACTGTATAAAAATGCAAACACACACACGCGCGCGCGCGCACAATGAATTTATAGACGTTAGTGTTTATTATTTATTCATTGGTAAAGAAAAATAAAATTGATTATTAAAAAGTTAAAAAAAACTGACGGAAGGATGAGTTTGAAGGAATAAAACAAATTTACAATGATTTATAATAAAAAAAAATTCTATATAAAAGTAATCGATATAAAAGCAATACCCTCCAAACGTCTAAATGTATTGTTATGAACTAAACAGACGAAGCTAAATATTGTTAATTTCTTACACGTTCACAATTTTCATGCTCTAATTAATTACTCATTTGAATTCAATAAAAATTAGATCGGCAATATCGTAACATTCACAAGTATCATCATGGCAAACCACTTTCTCAACATGTGCCCATCATTATTCTCAATATTATTGTAAACTTTTTACCGTTTAGACAAAAATTAACAATCCGTATGGATATATCCGTACGAAAAAACCCAGTATGAATAGAGAAAAAAATTCCCTGTTTTAAATAAGAGAAATGTGCAGGCAAAAATTTCTGGGAATCCAAAGAGATACTCGCGCGTAACTATGTATGTACGTGCAACACTACTCCTAAAATCGTGAAATGAGTCGAACATTTATGATGTGAACGCTGATGTAACATGCACATGAATCACCAATTGATTTCAATTAATTTAATTCTCAACAATGTCAATTCTCTATATGCAATACCATACTGTTTAAAACCAGGCGCATAATAATAATAATAATAATAATAATAAAAGGAATAACAACAAGCAGAGATGAAGATATGTGCATTCTACACATGTCAGTCACCACATTTAACATGATGTGAGGTCATCTTCATCGCTTTGCATCAGTCCACCTGACTCTATGGAGACCGTTCGGTCATGCGATAATCACATTTCAATTCGTTTCACTTCATTCTTCATCACATTTCACTGAAGTTAAAAGCTAAAATCCACATCATTAACAGTCATTCTGATATCCCCGAACTGCTTGTAACATCTCTCTGCTGATTAGCAATCCATAATAATCCAGACACAAACTAAACTACAACAGATTATTCAATACTGTACGCAAGAATAATATAAATTAATTCCAGACTATATTGTAAAGTTGATGGTGATGACGACGGTGACGACGTTAATGATCATAACCAGGATCCTTACTAGTAATGCCATGCCACCCCCCTCAACAAGAGCCAACAAAGCCCCATGGACGACAATCATCCACAAACACTCGCACAACATCAACTGGACTTTAAAATGGAGTGACCCTCAGTGAACATCAATGCATTTATTTGTATGACAGGCATACACCAAAGAGTCCAGCTGATCCATACGTCCAGATAACTCAACAATAGAGCGAGCAAAATTGCTGACGGATTAATTTTACATACTAAAAAATCGAGCATGTCAAGACTTTGAACTGAATGTATATAATATTACAAAAAAATATAATTCACACACATGCATACAACAGCACACAAACAATACAAACTATGGATAAAACTGCATACTATTCACACACACATGCATACAACTGCATACAAACAACCAACCAAACAATACAAACACATACACACAACCGAGCGGAAGAGCTGGCTGTGAAATATGATGAACGCGAAGGTGGATGTAGTTAGTATCACGTGGCTAACAAGTTGACGACAGATGTATCAGATGTTGTGTGCGGTGTGTTGAACAACAACGATTGTTGGTGATGGAGATGTTGTTGCTGGAAATCTGTGAAAGGTCGTTGTTGTTGCAGAGAAGGTTGTTGTTGTTGCAGGGTAGGTTGTTGTTGTTGTTGCGGTGTAGGTTGTTGTAGAGAAGGTTGCTGCTGTTGCAGGGTAGGTTGTTGTTGTTGTTGCGGTGTAGGTTGTTGTAGAAAAGGTTGCTGCTGTTGCAGGTTAAGTTGTTGCTGAGACTGTAGTTGATGAGATGTGTGAAGCTGATGCTGAATTTGTTGTGATTGTCGTTGTTGTTGATCTTTCAGTTGCATTTGTTTCTGTTGATTTTCGAGCCAATTGTTCCTATGCTGTTGGAATGTAGTTGAAAGAGCTCGCTTGTTCAACTGCTGCAACGAAATTAAATTTTTCAGAGCAGTTTTTGAGCTGATCAAATTTGTGGACTTCTTTGCAACGTGGTCAGCTTCATAATCGTCGCCATCTTTCTTATTGAGTGGTCTCTTCTCATTATCACCATCATTGTTGTCGTCATCAATGCCAACCACGTTGAACAAGTCATCATCATCATCATCATCATTATCATCATCCGAATTGACGGCACCGCCGATGTCTTGGTTTCCATTAGCTTCAATAATATGGTCGGCACTGTTGACGGATGATTTGTTGTTGTTGACGTTGTTGGTGTTGAGTTTGTTGTTGTTGATGAAGACTGTCTCCTCACTTGATGTGTCAGAATCTGAAACCACGCTCCTGCTGACCCGAAGCTCTGATGAATTACGGTCATGAAATTATTTTTTTCAGGATTACTATCATTACTGTCTCCCCCACCATCAGCATCAACATAACCATCCTAACAAATCAAACCACCATCATGAACAAACATCATCATCTTCAGAGGCACACAACACTCACTTGTAGGATGAGTTTGATTGAGAGTGCCATTGAGGTGAGCACTGGATGCCACGGGACCAACTCCATTGTGCGCCTCCTCCAGAAGTTTGTAACGATGTCTCCTCTTCAGCGAACTCTGCGCCTTGCCGGCTTTGAAGTCCTTCCTGAAGAAACGCCTCCTTATGGCGCACACCACACACCAGATGAGGGCGACGACGACGACGACGATGACGACGATGACGATTATCACGTACAACAGACTCCATTCTGCGTTGTTATTGTTCATCGAATATTAGGTTCTGCTTGAATCAGATAGAAGAAAGATAAGCAATGAAATGAAAGCGACGAGGTGCACACAGACCACCACTGACCATATAAATATGAAGAACTAGATAAACCAGTTCGACCCTAGTAAGATCATCAATAACTCAACAAAGCCACATCATCAAGAAGTTTGGATGTGCAATCTCGTTAACACATTTCTACGCTCAATTTCAATCACAACCGGCACAGATAGATAGACTGGTCCAACATCAACACCATCAATTCAACAGCAAACAAACAAACCGCAGTTGGATTCTTGAATGCCATAGTGAGCTCTCAACCAGTTAGACGTCCAGAAAGTATCACACTGACACAATTTGGTGACCTGGTCACACTTGCCATGACCCGAGCATGCGCTGTGGCACACTGTTTGGATAGTAATTATGTATTAATATTAATTATATGTTAATGTATAAATTTAATTATTTTATAATTCTGCTTAAAACATTTTATAATTCTGCTGGCTGGAGAACTAGAGAAAGTGTTTTTTACTCAAGCTCAAAGTTTCAGAATGTCACATAAATTTTACATCCCTTCCACACGGTGCATAGACATACGTTCTTTGGTGAGTACATACAATTCATATACGTTTGCAAAATCAGATGAACAAGCGCATTTTCATAACCACACACACACATTTATATACGCACGCACATTCGAAAATAAACAGAAACCAGGCAAACACACGTGCATACACATAAACATACACACACATCACATACACTACGGAATAAAAAAAAAGCAAACAACCAGACCTACACCTAATACTTCTGCCGATGACGCAAACACTTGAACACACACGCACACACACACGTACACGAACACACACACGCATCAACTAACCGACAGGAAGAATTCTAACTAATGGGAACTCCAGTATATATCCTTCTGTGTATTTCATCTTCATCACCCTCACTATTTCATCACTATCCCTCATCTTCCACTCCATACCCTTACCGATATTTCTATCATTCACATCACCGTCGTCTTCATCGTTGTTGATACCGTGCGGCAATGCATCTGAATTTTTGCTCAACTTCTTGTCTGATGTCTGAACGTACATCTGTAGGAAGATTCTGGAAGAATTTGATTGGTAGGTTACAGGAAGAAGGTAATAATATTAAACTATTCATTATCTTCTGCGTCATGAAAGACATTCATTTATATATGCGGTTTACAGAGAAAAAACAAAATAGCTTAAAGATTATATCTGCCTTGAGATTTAATTGACAAGCTAATATGGACAATAGATAAATGTAGTCTGTTGGATAAGCAAAGTAGGTGTGGGAACGCATGAATGGTGTTATTAGTGTTGTTGTTATTATTATTACATAATCAAAAAGGCATTGGCTAGAGAAACATTATAATTCAAACAATGTTAAAAAATGAAAACATTTTGCTCATCTATGCATCAATTAGCCAAACAAACCAGCTAACCAACCAGCCTACCAACCACAACCTGTTAGTGTCCAATTCTGAAGTGACCCTGTGAAAGATGACCTTGCATGAGGTCACATTGGCCAACATTGATGGAAACATCATCTCCAGATGCAACTTCAAGGCGTTCTAAATAGATGATGATGATGATATGTATGATACCGATAACGATCTAAATTTCAAATCTCATGATGAGATGATGATGATGGTGATTCATAACAGAATTTAGGACGAGTATGATGATGACGATGATGATAAGAACGACAATAAAACAAATGGTGATGATCATGATTGTGAGGTGGCGATCATTGATGATGACGACGAAGATGACGACGATTAAAATGATGACGACGATAATAGAATGATGATAATAGAATGACGGTAGCGACAAACGTGATAAAAATAATACAATAAAAATGACACAATGATAAAAATAACGAAGTAACAACATCATAGAGTAAATATTCAGCAAGATTGATATTATCGAAATTTGACGGCAAAGAAAATATTAACCTAAATATAAAAACAAACAATAATTATAATAATAACGCTTACAGAATATATATTAATAGTGATATTCAACGAAACATAATGTGCATTTATTGATCTCATAATGTAATTACGTAAAATATTGGCAGGACAATCAATCGAGTGAGCCCCTAACAAAACAACATTGATCCGTTCAGCAAACAAAACGATAATGTTTAACTTGAAAAATTCAATTAGCAATGAGGTATTAATGGTGATACTGAAATGCCAGCAGATTCAATGCTCATTTTGAGATGTTAAAAATGTTATATTGGAAACTCTCAATTTCAATAGTTAAAATAAAATATAGAAAATATAACTAAGCTTTTTAATGAATGTAATGTAATCATTACCTATAAAAAACAAATCATTAACATCGTCGTCGTCGTCATCATCATTGCCAGAACAATCAATATCATCATTTTCATCATCATTTTCATTATTAACAACCATCGTCATCGTCAACATCATAAACCGAACCTTATCAACGTCAGTGAACTTGTCGACATCAACTCCAAGAACTACGTCAACCATGTAGTCCTGCTTGATATCTGTTTGTTTGTTTGTTTGATGGTTAGATTTTGTGTATTTGTTTGTTGGTATGTTTGTTCAACAGTTTGTTGACTTCTATTACATACGTACATTTTCGGTCAAGATGGCAGCCAAACAAAATATTATTAATAATGAAATTTCAAACTTTTAACTAATACCTATCCTCATTTAAATAAGGATATATTTATGCAAAACTCTGGGGGCTTCTTCACAGAATTATCTTCTGCACTCAAAACCATCAAGAAACGACCTTGTATCGTTAAAATTACCGAACCCGGACAAATCACGTGCAGGCAAAAAGCTAACAATTCCGCATGGTAGAACAAAAATGCTTTTTTCGGTATTCCTATACCTCTACTTTACTTTGTTGATTTCTTGTTTGTTTAAAGTGAATATTAACGCTCATTCAAATAGTCTTACGATCTTTAACTTCGTTAAATATAACACTTTTACGTGTTTTCATTATCGATGATTCCTGTTTCTGAATTTATTGGTAGGAAGAATTCTTATTGCCCGTTGTTGAATATTCATTATTGGATGTCTTTGTTCTTTGAGTATTGATTCGGCTAGTCGTAAATTATAATTGTTGTTGTTGTAGTGTAAGATTTCAAGAGAAACACAAAACTAAAATTACTAGACAAATCTTAGACCACAATGTTCAAATCTTTTTATATTATCAGTAAAAGCAAAACCGCCCCGATCTGCTCCATAATCATTAATGGTAAACAGGCAAAACAAGTTAACAACTTCAATTATTTTGGAAGTCTGATTACCTCAGGTTGTAAATAAGATATGGATATCAAAAGAAGAATAGCTATGGCGAAAGATGCATATTCTAAAATGAAAAACAACAGTAAAATTAGAATATCAACAAAATTAAAACTGTTAGGGTGTAACATTTTTCATGTGCTAACCTACGGCTCTGAGACAACTTCTAAAGAAATCGAAAAAAAGATTAATGCTGCTGAGATGTGGTTTTTGAGAAGAATTATGAAAATTAGTTAGACCTCTCATACTTCGAATAATTTTGATAGAAAAAAATTAGCTAGGTGATGGAGAAACTGCCAACAATAACAATTTTGACACGAACAATTTACCAATTTATCTAATAATAAATATTTTCTTCATAAATCAAATTGAATTAAAATAAAGTTTAAATCTACATGTTATTTTAATTAAAAAAGTGATAAAAATAATAAGAATCTATTGTTAAAATTTATATTTTTCTATCGAGCAATGCATCGGTACGCGTTTCTAGAAAATTTAGCTAAAAATTTGAAAAAACACTTGAGTAAAAAAGTTCGGAAGAATCTACGCTGTTACGACAGTAACAGCAAAAAACGACAACGGTAATAATAACAATAATGTTAATAAATAATAACGAAAACAAAAGGAAAACAAGCCGAGTTAACCTTTATTAACAGTAAGCACCATATAATCAGTATCAACCAATCCTTCAACATCGACTACTTTCAATGTGAATGTGTACAACCCGGGAACCAGGTTGATGAGCAGGAGTATGGGGGAATGGTCTGAGCCTGGTACTACTTCCTGTGTGATTGTTTGTTGTTGCTAAGCAGGGCTAAATCTGCTTTGCAGTGCAGCGGCTTGGTTCAAATGTTTTTCGATTCCGCGCCTACCAAGTATCAAGTGCAAGTATCATGCGTTGTTTTCCGTGTATGAAAAATGTTTTCGGTGTTATAAAGTCCAAGCTGAGTCAGACCACCAGACCAAGCCAAGTCGATGGAAACGATTTGGTTCGGCTTGGAGTTTTAAGCCGATTCAGTTTGGCTTGATCGGCTCAAGCCGCGGCTATCCGATGGAACCAATGTCGGTGGTCAACAAATTAATCTGAAACTAAAGGTTTAATTTAAAATCTAATAATCTAATTTAAGGCTAAAAGTTTAACTAGAAAATGAAAAAGTTGTTTATCATGTTCTTTTCTCTACATTAAGTTGCATAGTATCACTAATTATTGTGGAAACAAAATTAATTTTATTACTTTTACTTGTGAAACTTCCTTTGTCCACTTTGTCTTGAGACTATCGCCAACGATTATTGATAAATCATCATTACAATTAATTATTGAACAAATGAAATAAGCTTCAACAGTTTTCTTTTTATATCCTATTTAAATTTTCTTTTTATATCCTATTTAAATCATCATTACAATTAATTATTGAACAAATGAAATAAGCTTCAACAGTTTTCTTTTTATATCCTATTTAAATTTTGAAACAAAAAATTCAATATCCTGAGCAAAAAATGTCATTATGTCGTGAATCGTGAATGATGGTGATCTCCATTTTCAACAAATAATGATTACATGCGAATTTCTACCCAATTAATTTGTTTTCATTATCATGAAACCAATAAAATTAAAGAAACTCGTTCCGATTGGAATAGATAATTTTTTTATCACTTGAAGTTATTGAACGACATTCGGTTCCACCGGCTTGGCTTGAACCTTTAAGCGAATTCGGCTTAGAGTTTTATCAGAAACGCGCCGTTAAGACTTTTTTAATGGATTTTGTAGATCAAAACGAGATATTCTTTATTTACTAAACCGCAAACCGTTTGAGATTTGACCTTCGTTTATTTCAACAAGTAATTGTCAGTTTTTGTTCAACTGATTGAAGCAATAATGATAATATGCCAAAAATAACGAGAATAATTTTAATAAAATCACTATCATCACCACTCCTAACCCCCACGGCGGGATTATTCTGACCCTTCTGCCAGAAATAGGAAACAATTCCCCGATCGTCACGTGACTTTGACCCATTTATTTTGACCAGCATTCCTGTTTGAATGTCAACAGCAAAGTCACCGCCCGCATTGGCTACTGGAGGTGCATTGGGGTCTGTGGTGTTCATTGAGATATGATTATGTCAATATGTGGTTCACGTGATTACTCATTTATTCTGATCATGTGATGAAACATATATTAGCCTAACTTAACAGTGCTATCATGATAAGAATCTATATGAATAATTCGAGCTAAAAAATGTAAATATATTTGCTGTTTGAGTTTCAAGCACAAATGATAATGACGAAAGTTCTGTAGAAATGAATTCTCGCATGAGTGACTAAGAAAGTAATAATTTCATGTATATTTTATAACATATAACTATCAGAATGAGTTAATTGAAAATTTAAATGTTCGGTCCGATATTATTATAATGAATGAGTGTTATTTTATCGCATTTGTGAATAAATTTAGTTTGAAAAACTTCAAGCAAAAACAACCAAAAATTTTCATATAAATTTTTGTACCTACATTTGCTTCGTTTTTATTATCAATACCCTTATTTTCAAACAATTTCTGCACATAACATATATACGGGAAATCAAATTAAAAAAAAAACTAATCACTAACTTTGTTTGACAGTGATGACAGAGCTCGCCACAGAATATAAATGTTCCTCGTCTGTAACTTTAACTTGCAGCACGTAAACACCCAAACGTGGAGATAGCAAGCGAGCAACTGATTGATTACTGTTCCCTATCTTCGTGTCACCTGGAGGACCGCTGTCGGTTCGAACATGGTAAAGAAACGGTCATAAAACTACGTTTATGCTACATGATATTTATAAACTTTAAAAGACGAACAATGAAAATATCTTGAGACGAAACAATGAAAATATCTAATCAATAAAATAAATTATTTATTTATTTAAAAAAACCGGCTTGAGCATGCCCCTGGCCGACAACTTAAAATAAATGAACAGTCTCGACAAGAATTTAAAGAAATAAAACAGTTACTTTATCGACCATCAAGAAATAAATGTTGATATATAGAAAACTTCTTCAGGTGAGAACCTTATTACGATCCATTGGTAGGAAATAATTTTCTTATCGTCAGTGCTGTTAGAAGCGTTGAGGACAACAAGGTCGACGGGGAGGACAACTGTTTGGTTCAATCCCGCGTTGGCGACAGGTGCTTGATTCTGAGCTGGTTTGATGTTGTTGAAAAAACAATTAAAATAATTAAATAATTAATTGATGTATTGATGTTTGTTTCAATGATTTAAATAAAAAAGATAATTGCTAATGAAACAAACCAGATAAACATATGATTATTGTTCTAGTCAAAAGCAATAGAGATAAATTAATATAAAAATTCTGTTGATTTAATGTTCACAAACTCTTTGCGTAAATATTCAGCAATTAAAAATTTCAGGTTGGAAAAAATAATAATAAACATCGACAGCGTTACCTTTAAAAATGTTGATCAACTACATTATTATATTTAAAAAAATTTTATCATCACACCATCACCACCATTATCATATTTATCACATAAATAATGTCTCTACATCCAACTGACCTGGTTTGACAATCACATGCACATCTGCTTGGTCTGTTTGATTTGATTGATCTTTTACTGTTAATTTGAAGGTGTAGTCACCAACCTGTAGATTGCCAAGTGCCAGGTAAGGAGTTCGAACTCCCTGTTGAAAAATTGATTTGTAAGATCAGCTGCATCTTAAAAAAGAACGTTTAACATTATCATAAAAAATACGTAAAAAAGTGAAATACTTTCTGAAACACTGAGTAACTAACTAACTAACTAACTAACTAACTAACTAACTAACTAACTATACAGTGGCACAGAGTCTCATCTCACGTTTTTTAATTACAAATTTATATTATAACAACTCTCAATTTTCTATTTTTTTTTTACAAAGTTAATTTTATTTGACAAATTTAAAATTTATTTTATTATTTAGAGTTCAGTTCAGTTGATGGCAAAGAAAACAACGTCCTACCTCGGGGAACCGGGACTCTGGACGCAAAACGAAGAGTGATTGATTGATTTATTATTTAGAGTTCAAGTTTAAGTTTTAAAATAAAAAAAAACTAGTTTTTAAATTCTTATTTTATTTATATAATGTTTACTGTCATAAAATACAATTTTGACAATTGACAATTTATTTAAATAAAATGTTAAACTTAATAAAAAAAGTGCTCCACTTAATGTGACATTTTCGCACACAGCACATTATGCCTCTTATGTAACTTCACGTTTAACACTTTCCTATCCAGATAGCAGCTTCGAGACATCTATGAACTAACCAAAAAACGAACTCATCACCGTAGAAACAACAAATGCCACACGCGCGCATAAATTGAAACTAACCAACCAGAAAGCACGCTGACAAACATTCACATACGTACACACAACCACAACACATACAGCCCATATACACAAAGCGAAACTAACCACCATATCAGTGGCAAGTTCATCAGAAACCTTGGTCCACTCGTAACTGACAATCTTCTTGTCATCTGAACTCATGTTGCCATTCAATGTCACAGAATTTATAGGGAGGCTGACGATGATGTTGTTGCCTGCATTGGCCTTTGGCGGATAGTCCACCTCTGTGATAGCAATTATTGATATTATTAAAATAAGTGAAATGTTAAACAATGTTAGAATGTTTTGTTTGTAACAATAACGATAAAATATGTAATTGTATTTGTGTGTATAATGACAATCATATAATGACAAAAACGATGAAAGTGATTGAAATGATGAATGATCTTTAGATCATTCTGATGAAGAACGATCAACGGTGCAGCAACGTTGGCGATAACAATAAGGATGACTAATAAAATGAATAGCATGAAAGTGAGGGAAAGAAACAATAACGACGACTGTTACAGTTTCGAAAAAATGTTATTAAAAATTGAAAAATGTTACATGGACACAAAGGGGAAATATTGAAGTTACAAACTGAAATAAATAACACCACCAGCCATGGAAACACAAGTAGCATTTACAACATTAACGTACGGCAATAAGAATACACATGATGTCGACCAGCATTTTATAACATTAATTACATTACATAACATTGCACTGATTTATTCACTAATGTCAATTTATTCGTGATGAAAATCTAATAACAATTTACCAGAAACTGAAAAATCAAAAATTTTATGTTGAACTTGTCATTAAATTGTTCAAACAAACAATAACTAACAATGTTGATGATGCGATAAATTAGTTAAATTTACAACAGAAATCTGCCTACTAGTATGATATCATTTTTTCGCAGAAAATCTTTTTGATTGTGTGAGTTGTTTTACCAAAATTAGCTACATGGGAAATCGGTTGCTTTTTTAAATTCAATTATATAATTTATTCGTTTTTGCATAAATTTAAATTATAAAAGCAAAAATTTATCATGCAACATCTGAAAAAGTGTAAATTTAAAAAACAAGACTAAGAAGGTACCTTACATCAATTTCATTTTTAAAAGAGGTATAGAATAAAAAAAAAAAATTTTGCTCGCTAACAATGCACGTTCGTTTTTGGAATTTGTTTGTTTTGCTTGTCTAAGGCAAACAGATTTTAGTGAAAAAAAATGATAAAAATGTTTTAAGAGCACGTGTATTGTTATCGTCAATAATTATTATATTTCTGATTACTTCTGTCTTAATAAATTATATTTCAACACAGAAGAGATTCAATGTTGGAGGCTAGATCATGGCCCAATACTTCTGTAGGCACCAGACTCGAAGACGAGTCTGTGAGATTTGCCATTGGTTTCAGACTCAGTCTAGTTATGCAAAATAAATATACGTGTCGATGTTCTCCGCCCCATGGACACAAACACTTTTAAATTTCTCAAAACAATATGTAAATTGATTAGTGCTATTTCAAGTGACAGCAGAGAACTGTTTTTGCAATAAATCACATTTCGTGCTTATTGCAGAGGTTCCTGCGTGTCTGTGTAATTGAAAATAATCAATTGAATGTCAACGTGTGTGACTAACGACATACCAAACTGTTAAACCAATTGTTATTTGATGTTTGACTGTTTGTTGTCATTCGTCGTGATTTGGTTTTAGCACACGTACGCAAAAGAAACATTAGTTATAGACACATACACTCACACATGGCACACACACACACATGGCACACACATGGCACACACACACACACACACACACAGTACACGTATACATATGTACATATGCACAAAAACCTTTGATGACAGTTACATTGGCATATGCTGCACTGGACACCCCATCGCTGTCTGTCACAGTCAGCCTGTTGAAAATTTAATGAAATATTTTGAAGAATGAAACTACATTGAATTTTAATGAAGTATTCATGTCTTTACTAATGACAATTTTTGTTAATACTCATTAATTCATTCATTCATTCATTCATTTTTTATTTTTACAGTTGCAGTAAAGTACAATCAGCATCGTTATCATCATTAACGTTATGCCCATAATGATGATGATCATCATTGTTATAATTTTAAGGTTTCCCAAATGTGCAAACTTTTGTGAAGAATTCATTCACGCGAGATTGCATGACCAATAAGATGAAACGCCCATATTTCACCTTAATTGTCATAAACATATTTAAGCCTATTGGCACTCAACACAAAGTGTGATATTGGGATATCATCAAGTGTAGCATTGTCGTTTACAATGTTGCCCCATGAGATCAAAGAAATAAAATAAACATACATACATACATACATTTATACAAGGCTGATCAGAAATTGAAAATTCATGTAAACAGTAATGCTGATGATAATATTATAATGTCATTTATGATACATCGATTTTAATAATTCTCAAAAATTTGAAAACGGTTACCCTACACACAATATAACAATTTTTATTCAAATAAAAAAATATCCACAAGTTACTTCAACATGTAAAATCCTGGGGCCAATCCACCCTTTAACTTGAGGGTGGGCGAAGTGAATGTTGCCTCCCCCTCATCGACCGGAAATGACGTAATTGGGCCCGAAATGAGATCCCATTTGTATGACACTATTCGGTCATCATCAGAACTCCCTTGAAAATTGAAAACATATTTAATGCTATTATTAGCGTAGTTTTGTACAAGTTCATTTGCATAATTGGAGCTTTATAAGAATGCAATGGACTTGAACTTTTTTTAATTTTTTTCGAAATATTTAAGATCAAATAATGTCATTGCGCTTTTGAGAGTTTTGAAAAAATGCATTTTAGATTATTTAAAATTTTCCTTTAAAAATAGGGGAAAATCAGGAAACCATTCATCTAATCCATGTTCTTCCGCAACAGTGACCTGTCATTAAAACAATATTAATACAAATAACAAAAGCATGTTTCTTCAGGATTTTACAATCCAAGCAGCAGTTGATTCAAATTTCAATGGACATAATTAAAAACACAAGTATTCAATCAGCAATTCCAAAACTCCTGCTCTAAACAGTTTTTATCCAAACAAAATGGCCTGAAATTCAGTCATTCATTGTCGCAAAAATCTGCTTCTCAGTGCTTTTTGAGAACTTCATCATGATCAAAATTCATTTTGTGGGCTTTAAAATAAACACTGAAAAAAAAGCAAGCAACTTTGGATCACGTTAGTTATGTTGAAATCATCCGCTGAACAAATGTAATTTTTTAAAATATATCAAAACTTCTAACTCTGTTGATGAATAAAAATAATTTCAACACTAGTTGCTGAAATACCAAGGCTGATTAATAATCAAAAAATTAACAGCGGTCAATCAATCGCACATCACCAGCCTTATTGCGGAAAATAAACGTCCAACATTTGCAATACAATCAATAAATTTTTCATCTTAGCATTTGCAATACAATCAATACAATACAATTTTTCATCATAGCATTCACTCATACTCAAATAATAATAATAATTACTCGCATACATTTTTGCTATTAAATGATGATCCCGAATTGAAAATTGTCGGTGAGAGTGGTGACGGTTTTTCAAATTAAATTTTTTGGCAACAAAAAAAATATCACAACATAACAAACCAGCTCAAACTTATTAAAATCTTGTCACAAAATTTTGAATGTCCCCTTCAAATTAAAAAAAATTCTGTAATTCATAAAAGATCAAAAAAAAAAGATTCCATCAACTACCTAACCTAATTCAGTTCCCCCATCTACATAACAGTTAATACAATTAATTTAATTTAATTTAATTAATACAAATAATTTAATTAATTTAAACAATTTTCAAATAATGAACAATAAAATAATTCTCCTCGTTTGAATTTTAAGCTGTATTGAATTTGTTACATTATGCTTCACACGGCATTAAAAATACTGTAGATGGTTTTTGATTGTGTTTGCTATTATGGTCCATCCAATTCTTTCAAATGAATTCACAATTAATTTCGAAGTTTGATTGAGTTGCAATTCAAGAATCGTTATGAATATGACTTTTCAAAGAACAATAGCGCTTATTATTTCATTCGAATCAAAAATAGGCTTTAATTAATTCAATCTTTTAACAAAAAAAATGTTTTAAATTTTTTAAAAGTTATAACTAATTACAAAACAATACATGCAAAATAAAAGTTAAACAACAAAATTAAGTAAGGAGCCGACAGAAAAGAAACATGAAGAACATCAACCTCAACACTAGAGGCAAATAACAACCCACCTGATCCATCGATGACGAGATCATTAAGTTGACTGAGCTTCTGTTCCGAAGGCATCACTGTGACTACTGGCGCTTTGTTCAGGCGGACAGCTGTCATTGTGATGATGCGGAGGAGGAAGATGACGATGATAAAAATAAGAATAGTGAATTAAATGAAGATAGCATTGATAATCAAGATAATGATAACAAAAAATTAAAAAAATTAAAATGATCTAGAATGATGAAACGGCAAAAATATTACAAATGGAATGCAGTAAACCGTTAAAATTTGGACAATGGAAACTGCGGTTCTACCATCTTAACAACTAATGCAGTCAAGCCAAAGTGAATTTGTAACCTTAACATCAACAACAAGACGATTAAAAATGAGTTCATCGTTGTTTGTGCTGCAATCAGGCCAGAGAGGGCCCAATGAAGAATAGTACAAAAAAGAAAAACAAAGCATGAATATTTAGTGCAACTGAGGCACTGAGCCACGTGTAAATGCTCATTATACAAGTTGTGGAAAGTATACGTTATTGCAAGACCTGCAATGACCTAATTGCTCATGACGTTGGCCCGTGTTTTTAACATTTAGGATCGTGTAGGAGAACTTGTGGAGCGAAAAAAGGCGTCAGCTAGGCCAAGAAATGGGAAAAACAATTTTTGATTTTTAAATTACCCGATGGGATGGGGCTATCTAAGAGTAGGCAGGATGCAAAGGTACGCACCGCCAATTATTCAAAATCTAATAATCACTAATAATAATTTAATATGCTGTTTTATTCCTACCGACACGGTTTTTTTAGTGTATTTGAAAATTTTTTTGGATTCAAAGGGTTGTTCGTTTTTATAAAATTTGATATGCGTAGGTCGTGCAGCAGTACACAGGACCTAATTGACCAAGAGTACGCGAGTACCCTGGCATCGAATTTATTACAAGTGGTATTAATATGTTCAACGAGCCATGCAATAATCTTACTGTTTATACTATACCATATTCTAGCAATCTACATACTTTATTAATACTTAGTAATTACTGCATACTTTACAAAACATTATTAGATTTACGAACTAGAGATGACGTACCTTGTGCTGGGGTCGTTAAATCATTATCGGATAATGAAAATTTGATTGGAGTTGTCAATAAAAAAAATTAAAAAAGCTTATATCTACATATCTGCCCCCTCTAAATCTACTAATTTATTGCAACCAACAAAGAAAAATATTTATAGATCTTCAACCACCTAAACCAATTCAAGAAAAAATAAAGAAAGACGCTTATTATGCAGGTGACGTTGCTTGTTGTAGTAAAGATGTAATTGAAGAACATTTTAAGTCAAATTCTATTACACTCTCTAATGCATATCCAAGTGTTTAATGAAAAGTTCCTTCTCAAGGACAAAGATTCTGGTTCTGCTGAAATTTTCATCAAAATTGCATTAAATTGTCTGAAAATTAAACCTAGAAAGTAAATGTAAGCAAAACAGAACAGAATAAAATAAAATTCTTATGACATATCATCTCTGACAGCAGCATAAGACCAACACAAAACAACATAAGTAAAATTTTAAATATAACGACTCTTGCTACAAAAAAGGAAACAAGAAGCTCTACTGGTTTATGTAACTACCATAGGAGCTTTATCCCAAAAATTACTGAACGTTTACAACCACTGCTAGAAGTAGTTAAGAAAAATGCTACTAACTATGTTGAACCAACTGAACATAAATAGTTCTTCAAATACCAGACATCAACAAAACATTTACTGTAGTTTGTGATGCATCGGCCTTGTTAATAGGTGGTGCCTTACTGCAAAATATCGATGCCATACTTGAATCCATTTGTTTCCTAACTAGAAAGAAAGATGACACAAGCAGAGCAAAACTATTCAACAATTGAGAAAGAAGCTCTAAGCATAAATTTTACGATCCCACAACTGTCAATATTTCTAATAGGCAAAGAATTTGTATTGCTGACTAAGAGATTTGCATGGCGTTCATGAGTGTATACTATACGCTGGTATGATATTGTATGAATAGTGTTGAATTGGTTGTGTTTATTTGATATTGTTATAATGCAAGTCAAATCAAGATCGCCTCCTCTTGTGGTTGTTAAATTAGATGCCCCTTCACTTATTCAATACAAGCAAAAAATAGAACAAATTACAAAAGTTATAAGCAAACGAATAACTTCAACAAACTTAAAGAAAACTAAACTTAATTCAAACTTGAAAAAGACTATTTACGTCGAACATGCAATCTATGTAAACAAGCGATGTAATGTTCTCTAAATTTGCGTTCAAATTTTCCGATTAATTTTTTCATCGTGAATTTCGGAGTTTTACATTAGAACTGTTAAATTATTTTTTCCGCCGTTCCTGTTTTTTTAGAAGTCAAAATGCCTGCTGCTGGGACATCTTGAATCAACAATTGAAGTCCTTTGGCTTATTTAATAACAGAACATCAACTTTTCTACCCATTCCCATGGTTATGGGAACGTCATAAATGCGTCATAGACAACATTGAAGTCATGAACTGTGTGATCGTGGTCTTGTGACCTTCAATGCTACATTATCAAAGCCAACACCCCCAAACATTTTTCGTCAGAACAAAAGTTTAAACATTGAAATTTTTCAAACGCTCAGGCCAAACATTATTTTTGTCGTATACAAACCGCCAATTAATGATGCAATTCTCTTTACCGATCAGTTAGTAAATTTTATCAGCTCTAGTAAAAATGTAATTAATAAAATCATGTATATAACCGAAGACTTCCATATTAATATTCTTTCGCAAGAAAATCCACAACTTTTAAAAATTGCCCTACAAAAAATTTGTGCCATTAATAACAAGTGCCACTCGGATTTCAGATCATTCTTCTACATTAATTGATAATGTTTTTCAAACAACAATATGATCTCTGTCTAGTGTCATTTATTCAGACATCTCGGATCATCTTCCCACATTTTTTGCATCTCCAAAACATTGATTTGGCAAGATCCAGCGACAATGCTCAAAAAATTGATTGAGAAATTGTAAATACAAATCTATCAAAGTACACATGGATATCAGTCTCAAAAATTCTGAAGAAATCCAACAAAAAATTTGCTGAAATGCATTGACAAAGTAATAAAAAAAATTCGAACGTAAATTATTATTATTATAATCATTAAAAATTTAGAAAATTTGTTTGGGAAGTACGACCAAAACTTAAATAATAAATAAAATAATAAAAAAATCCGAGAACCTATGCAAAACCCTGGCTCATTCAGAATGTTAAATGAGCAAGCAATTTGGAACAACTGTAGATAAGAAGTTTTTAAGGAACATAACTTTTACTTGTTCAAAAATACATTTTAGTGAATTTTATTAAAATAGTCCAAACAGTTGTTATAAAACAATTTGCAATCATCAAATTTGAGTAATTTCTGCAAAAAAACCTATGTAGTTGTACTGTGAAGTTTTATTACCAGTGTCAACATAACCAACAACATGGTAGATCAGCAAGAAACAACTACAACTAACGTGGTAGAACAACAACATGGACGAGAGCTTCCCTCGCATCTTGTTCTTTCATTGCAGTCACTTTGAATGTGTAGTTGCCCACTTGTAACTGCGCGTCAGATTAATTATTATCAACATCTATTCAATATAATTTTTATTACCATCATATTACCATCACATGATCATTCTCATCATCCCAATTATCATCATTTTCATCATCCCAAATAAACTATGGTTGTAACTGCATCACTATGCAACAGGAGTGGGCAAACTTTTTGCTGTGAGGGCCACATTGAGAACTATATTACCTTTGAAGAGCCGCATATGTACTTAAAAAGCAAATTTTTATGACCCGGGGAAAATTTTTTTTAGGATTTGTAGCTCCTTTTTTTGGTCATAATGTCTGGCTGACAACCTTTTTTGGCGAACAAGGCTTTGCGGGCTACATAAATTAGCTTCGCGGGCCGCAGTAGTTTGCCCACCCCTGCCATAGATACAATAACCCCACCCCTGCCGTACAATAACACCAACACTATCATCGAAATCGCACAGTAATATCAACATGATGACGATATCAACATTATAACAATAATGACGATGATAACCACCACCACCTATGACGCATACCGTGATGAGCTTGAGTGATGATGTACTCATGTCAATCATCTGGCCCGACTGCTGGTTGGGCGGTGACGACGAAACCATCATCCACTGAAACTTGTAATCATCTTGGTGAGAAGGATGGTAGCGAAGTAGTGATGATAACAGTAGCAATAGTGATTACGATAATGATGAGGATAGCAATTATGAAGCTTTAATGATGGTGATGTTTCGATATGGTGACGCGGATGATGACGACGACGACGTGTGAAGGATGAAGATGGTGATGATGAAGCTGATGATGAAAATAAAAGAGATAATGATAACGATAATGACAATCAAGGTGAACGTTCTAATGCCATGTTGTTTTAAATAGCATGTAACAGAATACTGATCCAAGTCACTAGCAATGGATACAAATATTATACAGGAAAGTTGTAGTAAAAAGAGTAATGAAAGAATAGAGATGATGAAGAGTAATAAAGGAATACAGATGATGATGATGATGAAGCTGAGGGAGGTGGTAGTAATGATAAAAACGGTGATGATGATGATGATAATGAAACCGGTAGTGGTTAAGGTAAGGTTAGTTGGTTGGTTGGTTAGTGGTGATTAAGATAGAACGATTTTTATCGATTTTTTTTAAAAACATTAAGAAAAAATAACGTTAATAAATGTGAATTGAATGATGGTGAGGATGATTTTTATGAAGATGTTGATAATATTGATGAAAATAAATTACCAAAAGAGTGCATGTTTATAATTACTAAGATTGCACAGAGATAACAAAACAAGAGTGAAAAATAGAAAGATGACGTTATATCATCAACAATGATGATATAACAATTGATGACGATTACAATGATGTTATCAATACTAACAATATCACCATAATGATGTAATCGTACGTTACACAGAATTACCGTAATGATGTCATCATACATTAATGAGAAGATGAAGATGACAAGAGAGCTATTTAAAAGTAATTTTCAAGATTCAATTAAGATGAAAGCATTTAGCACATGCACAGATTATCTTGAAATATTTGACACATCACGCAATCCACTACAACATTTAGCAAATGATTAAGATGAGGTACAGGTCTCTGATCAATACAATACCTTTAAAAACATCATCAACAACATTATACTATCCTAAGATAAACAGCCAAACAGGTGCAAGGTTGTCATTTTCATTTGGCTAACCATTTATTAAATTTCTATAATACTTGCTAAGAGTTCGTAGACAAACAGTATTAACTATACTGGCAGTAGCTGTAAGATTCAAACGTTTCAGTGGAAGAATACATTTGAGTGAATAATGAATTTTTTTACCTCCAAAATTTTGTATAAAGCAACATATTTGTGTAACTTCACATCTTTGTGGTGGTCCACAATGAGAAAAAAAAAATTTTAATTTATTTTAACCATTCCAACCTCAAAACATTATTCCAAAGCATTCATCAATCATTGAATCAGTGATGTTAGTGTAAAATTGTGAGGCGGGCAAAACTAGCTCTAACACTAAGCTATGGTGGTTATGTTTTTGGCTGAACCCACCATACAATGAAAATATGTACATAGTACAATATTTAAAAATATTTTATTTTTATTTCAAAGTCTATGTGAGATTTTCTTGAGTAATGAATGACCATGTTTAGTCATATAAAAATTATCATCGTAATTCATCATACTATAATTCATCATACTATAATTCATCATACTATAATTCATCATGAAGAATAATTACACGAATTATTTCAAATGAGATGTGACTGGAAATCTATAAAAGATGGTTTGAAGCTTCGTGTGAGTGACAGAAGAAGATTAAAACGTTTGAAACGAAACGTTAAAACGTTAAGAAATATCGACGAAGCATTTAAAAACTGAACGAAATATGCTAATGACAAAATCAATAAAGGAATAATGACGTTTTCATAAGCAATTTGTTGCAGCAACCTTGATTCAGCAAGGTAAATTTAGTAGACGAACCTAAATAATACAATAACAAACAAAAATGATACAAAACAACATGTCAACTCTTTGTGGCATAACACAACACCAGCAACAAAACAACAACAATATCACAAAAAAAAACAAACAAAAACATGCAAAAGTTGAAACATCACATCAAATGTCCTACAACAACACAGCCACACATCGAAACAACTGCACAACTGCATTACCACATGACATCAAAACAACAACAACAACAAAAACACAGAATGCCGACCTGCGCTAACATTAACTCCATGCACCGAAATGCTTGCGTACAACGTAATGTTGTTGTTTGGATGTCTCAATATTGTTGTGTTGCCTGCTGAAACAGACCATGGCATTGATGTTGTAGTTGTTGTTGATGTTGTCGTCGATGTTGTCGCTTCAGTAGATGCTGTCGTTGACAACAATGTTAAAGATGATGTTTCTAATGCTGCAGACGCCGTTGTCGCTGATGATAACGATGGCGGTATTGTTGTTGATGTTGTCGTGGCTGTTGTTGTTGATGAAATTTCTAGTTCGCCAACTTTTGGTGTAGTTGATGTGTTTGCTGGTATGAATATGATGGTAAGGTGAAGAATGATGATTAAAACGTTGATGATTATCATATCGAGATGCATACAACGAGATAACGGTGAAGTAAGGATGGTAATGAGAATGATGACGCGATATAGAATGATGACCATCAAGAAACTTGAGCAATGTTAAAAAACATTGATGAAATTGCTCAAACAATCAAGAACATAAAAAGTAACTAAAGTAAACAACAGAGTAAAAAAAAGTTAACGAAACAACACAGAAAAGGAGTAACAATAAAAAAATAAACAGCTGAAGTAATTGTATCTGTGAGAGTTGTATGGTGTTCCTTGGTGGATAGGAAATGATGGAGAACCTGCCAATGTTGTTGCTGCATTGTTGTTGATGTTGTGGTTGATGTTGTTGTTGTTGTTGATGTTGTTGTTGATGTTGTTGATGTTGTTGTTGTAGTGTTGCTGTTGTGGTTGATGTTGTTGTTGATGTTGTTGTTATTGTTGTTATTGTTGTAGTGTTGCTGTTGTGGTTGATGTTGTTGTTACTGTTGCTGTTATAATAGTAATTGTTGGCGGTACTGGATGTCCACCAATGATGATGCGCTGCACGTTACTCATTGCATTGTATTGAGGGTTATGCCATTGTATATGAGTTGAACTATGCATACAATGATGTACTGCCGTTGCAGTTAAACTAGCGATGAATGGCTCGTGGTATTTTGTTGTGTGCGCCGCTTCTACATGATGTATGTTATTGCGTATTACGTTCAGTGAGCGAGAACGTAATTGTGTTACACGTAAGTATATCAGTCAGTATATGTATGTATATATTTAATTATAGAGGAGATATGATGAATGCACAAGTACAATTTATTATCTGACAACATTAATAACAAGAGGTTATGAATCTACAGGACAATGAAGCACTATTCTCTCTCTAATCATTATGATGATAATTTTTATGCATAATGTCATGATGATTACGTTGGCATGCAAACAAACAAACAAACAAACAAACAAGCAAGCAAGCAAACAAACAAACAAACAAACAAACAGAGAAATTAATAGATAGGTGTTAATAAATATAAACAAGTATATATCAATTATAATTATGAAATTACATATCTAAACATAAGTAAGTCATTTCTTTATTATATTTCAACTACAATTTCTTTTTTTTTAAACTTTCATTTTAAAAAATAATTTCCATCTTTATAGTTTTGACCTTAAATCCCACAGGACATAAATTTCGGAAATAAAATTTTTTGCTTTGAAACGTTATAAAAGGCAGTCAGAGAGTATGCATTTTTAGGAGAAATGCTTTAGAAAAAATTAGCACAATGATCACAGGTTGAATAGCGCACCATAATGGCCCCAAGATCTAAAAAAAAACAATTTTAGAAATGCAGAAATTGTTGACTTGTGCCTTAAATCAACCAGGGAGACTAAATAATTATCATTATCATTATTATTATCATCATCATCTTCTTCTTCTTCATCATCTTGAATACATTATCATAAAAAATGCAACATTATCATCACTTTGCATCACATGTAATTATATCATATCATCCAACATTTGAATTGAATTTTTTAAATGCAGTTTATTTTATCACTGACATAATTAGCATTAACATTGAAATGTATTATCTTTTTTTCAGATTGATTGATTAATCGATTGACTGATTCATTCATTCATTCATTCATTCATTTATTCATTCATTCACGCTATAATTCATTGACAGCAATATATTCTAGCAAGGTCAAACCAAAATTTAAAAAACTACACCATCATCATCATCATCATCATCATCATCATGACCACCACAATCAATACCATCATCACCAACGCCATCACTGCCTTCACGCACTAACATAATTTTCACTCTGCCTAGTCCACTAATGAAAATTTATAATCCAAGCATAAAAAAAATTTGCAGAACAAAGCAAAAAACTTCACACCATGATATTAAAGTCATGGAGAAAAGATTTTAATCAGCAGCAACAAAGTATGCTATTTCAGTTGATTTAGTGAAATTGTCAAAACAATTTGCCATTCATAATCACACTTTTAAAGTGTTCCCATCCTTATTTCCAGGCACACCACATCTTCTTGATGATGATTTAGTTATTCAGTTTTCAATTTATAGACTAGTAAGAGGTAGCATGCGGAAAACGACTCGTTATTCTAAACGTTTGTAACACATCATTGTAGGTAATATCAATTTTTGTATTTCAATGAAAAAACAAATTTTTCTTACAATGTTTTTCAAATATTATTCAAAGTCAAAAATTTTTCTAGCATTTTCCCTTATTTGAAATTTTATTCTTTAATTCTTATAATAAAAATAAAATAATAATAGTAATAGAAATGATTGAAGCTGACATGAGAATCTACAAAGATCTGACTCAAGATCTCATAAACCTGTCATAATCTTATCACAGGATGTTTGTGAAACAACTTATAGCATTGTTGAATCTCAGAGAAAATTAATTTATTGCACCCATTGTACCAAATAATATTTGCCTAGTCTTATCATTTAACTTGAAGATACCTCTTTTGTCTGTACTTACCTGGTAAAATAAATACTCTTAACTGTGTTATAGATTGATTGCATAAATTTCAGTTGAAGTAAAAAAAAATTTGAAATAGATAAAAACAATAACTCACCATTAACTGTATCACTGCTTTCACTGACTGTGTTGTTATTGTTTATAAGGTTATTATTGTTAACCATAGTGGAGCTGTTGCTATTGCTCCTGTCGTTATCACTGAAACTAGAAATGTTGTTGTTAGTAAAGTCATTGTTGTAATTAGTGTTGTCGTTGTTGATGTTTTCACTACCGATGTTATTTTTGTCAAAGACATTGTTCTTCTTATTAGAGATGTTATTGACGTTGGTGACATTGTTGATGACATCAACGGCTTCCACATCACTAGAAGAACTGCCCTCTCTGGAATCTCGACGATCCCGGTTCTCCTCCTTGGAATGACTCATCCCACCATATTCCATTTCCTCCTTGTCATAATCCTCACTAGCAACATCTTAATCAATGTGGATGGAATTTCATACAGTAAGTAATTATTCAATTAATTAGTTAGTTAATTAATTAGAACTTCGTTTGACAGTTTTTTTACAAATCAATTCATCTTTATGATGTATGATGTCTTCTCAATCAAATTATTAATATAATCTATAGGCCATTTTCAACTTTTTTGAGAGACTTGAATTTTACAGAATATATTCTGTACGGTAGAACAGGTAAATTTATGTAGCAAAAGATAGCATTCAGCTTAATAACCACAGGATCTAGAAAAAGAACAACCAAGGAAAATATAACATCCAGACAGATTGCGTAACTTAAGGATAGCACAACTAGAATTGAATGAAAAACAAATGAGGTACAGCAATCAAATATGATGCAAAATAAATACAGCAAGCAGATAAGATACAAAAGAGATAGGTTTTTCATACATAACAAACTCTAATGAAATGATCTTTCATTTAGTTGCTGAAAAATTCACAAAAAGTTGTTACAAAGCTTATCAAGCCTGGCTAGTAGAAATGATAAGGTAATAATGAATCGATAAATTGCTTAAATTTATTCAACTCTGAAATTGGATAACAGTTGTATATATGTTCTGGGATGATTACAATTGTAGGTTACAAGAAACTATTAAAATTAGCAGAATTAATAAATTGTTTAATAATTATAGTTAGATACAATTTTCAAATAATAAAAACCGGGAATAAATTGAGAAAAAATATATTTTTTGAGTTGCACTTGCAAGTAGTTATAAAATGGCATCCAAATATATATATATATACAAATATTTACAAATATTGTTACTATTGTTGCCAGTATGATGGGATTTAATAGAAATTTGAATAAAAATTCAGAAAATAACTCATCCTCACCACTCTTCACAATGCCATCTGGTATGAAGTTTTTGAATTTTTCAACATCCCTCAACTCTCGATTTTGCAATGATGAAGATGGATTTAATGCTGAAACTTTGTTTGCACCTGACAGATAATGAAACATTTTTAAAATAGATAAATTAAAATGCCTTGCAATTGACTTTTAGATGCATAGTTAAAAGTAAGAGTGTAACTACTTAATAACTAAACTACCCTTTATTAAGTATTCAGGTACCGCACAATCACAAAACTATGAATAGACAACCAGTTTCAATTGGCTATTAAACATAGATATATACCATAATGAGTTAAGAACAATATTATACTTATAATTTTACTTATAAAAACGTTCTGCTTTCCCTCTACAATTTCAAACTTTTTAATTGAAGCTGTTACTAATAACTCAAGTAGATAATATTTCAAAACATTACATTACAAGATAGATGATTTGATGAATGTTGAAAAAAATTTTTTTCAAAGCTTTGCTGATTGCATTATTTAAAAAAGTTGACCAAAATTATCCTCAGTTTTGTATGTTATAATTAATATTAATTTATTAAAAAATAGTCAAGAGAATTTGAAAATGGAATGAGAAGAAATGCTAAAGCAAACTCATTTTATTAGTCACTTAGAAAAGTTATAGTTAGGTCAAGTGGTGGTGATCCTGATCATGATGGTGGGATCGTTTGACCAACAAAATGTTAGAAAACAAACTAGTGGGTAAAGTTATTTTCTAATGGTTGCTGGTCCAAGCACCATCAGTAAATGTTGAATTAAGTTTAACTTTAAGTTTCATTGAATTAATTCAAATAAATTCTTCTATACATTTTTAACATTTATTTAACTTGTTTGGAGGTTCAAATATTAATTCATTTATTAAATTTTGTATTATTACCAATAAATTGAAATATTTTACACAATTCATTTAGTTAGTTTTTACTTTTAGTAAGTTTAGTTTAGTAATTAGTTGGTAATTAGTTTGCATTAGTAAGTAGACAGTGAATAAATATACTAAGTTCTTAAGTAGAGTTAGGTTAATCGTTAATGTTTGTATTTGTAGCTTTTCTAATAAAAATTTAAAAAAATAATTAATTAATTATTAAAGCCATTAAGTAAACATCAGTGATCTGATCATGTCACTGATCAGTGTTTCTGCTTCCATGATTTCCTTCCTATATTTATTAATTCCAACATAACATCATAAATAAATAAAAAATAGTTAAAAAATATTAAATTAAAAAGTTAACAGATCATTAGTAATGTTAGTTGTTAGTTAATGACAAATTAACTTTTCGTAATGTTAATAATATAATAATGATAATCTATAATGATTCATTATTAAGTTAAGATTAATATTTAATAGTAACTAATTAACTTTTATAACTTTTAGATTCAATTTATTAATTCAAATCCAATTCTTGTAATGTAAAATATTGAAAAACATTTTAATAATAATTTCAAAACTAATTATAATAATTATTATCATTATTGTATTAATTATATATTTATTAAATAATAATAAGTCATTTACCTCTTGCAAATGTAAAGATCACAATTACAAAATAAAATCTGGAAACAGCGGTTACCAAGAAAAGCAAAAAAAAATTCATTTTATCTAATTTTTAATATAAAACACTTTTCTTGTGAAATTAAATTAGTATTATAAAAATCGGACAATAAAAAACATTTTAAATGCGGAAAAACCCTAAAACAGAGCAAAAACTTTAAAAAAAGTACATGGATATCACAAAGAAACTCGTATAGAAACGTTCGGTAAGTTATCTCGTCAGTTTGAGTTTCACGCACCATCGAATCAGAAATTTAATGAAACGCCGGGCTCCAAACGAATCGGCGCTCCATAAATTCACCGATTTAGTGAAGTTTCCGATTTGCAGTTGATGAGGTTGATCACAATTTTGCAGCCATTGATGGTCTAAACACTTTATACAAAAGTCTATGGAATAAAAATTATTTCACTGTCTACATCGATTGAAGCGGAAACAGTTGATCCGGTGCTTATTCCGATATACTTACACAGTGTTCTACCATATACAGGTATGTCCTTGGTTTTAACTCGTTGCAATGTAGCAGATTTAATTAACAACAAAAGGATTTAAATATTGAACTATGAAACAAGTAACACATTAGCATTTTTTCAAATTCAATTTATAAACTAATTTAATTTAAAAAATGTTCAACTTGAACAACGCTACTGATAAACAAAACTTGCTTTGGTAGGCTAGTTATTTTTTTACAAATCATAAATGTGCAGCATTCAACTATCTTTAAATGTTAAACTTAGTTGAAATGAGACAATCAGTTGCAAACTTGATTTAATTGACATCAAGAAAATAATTGAAAAATCCCTTTTGATCTGAAAAATGGCAATTTGCATAGTCTCACTAACGTTGTTTCAGCAACTGACAATCAGTATGTTAACTCCGACAGTGATCATGATGTTGGCTCAAATCTTATTTAAAGAGGACCAACAATATGCAACATTGGTCATCAGAAAGTCAGAAAAAGTTGTCACACTATCCGACATTAACACTGCAGTTGCGTCACAGTCAAAGAATAGGGGAGACTATGACATATTGAACCAATTTTTATTATTTAACTCATTAAATTTTTATTATTGCATTAAAACTTTTGGAAGTAGGTCATTATTATGTAAAAAAATATCTCTACGTATCGCAAAAATATATTCTATTCTAGCGTTTTTCTGACAACAGAAGGGTATTTTGCAAGCTTGTCATGAAGTTCAACCTACCCCGTTCACTCCGTACCCCGTTCACCAAACACCAAGGCTCGTTTAACCGATATTTAATAACTGTTGCAAAGGTATTTAATAATGAAATATTTTCAGATCAAAAAATATATTAATTAACATTAACAATAACAGTCAGTGACCAAATGAACACGACGTTTTTGCAATAGTACCAACTTGCTTCACTCCTTTCTGACAACAATTCTGCTCGGACGATGTACCGTAGAAATTAATTCTTGTTCCATCGATGTTGTAGATAGCCTCTGGTCCAAACATATAACATTCATGAACTGCTGAAAAGTTATCAAAAATATATCATATATCTTTTGTCGCCTCAGATTCTCTGACTGAGAGGTGGGTTATCTTGAACCTAGAAAACCAATCAGTTCAGGTATTTTGTCAAGCATGCATTTTTCTTCGTTTAATGTAACCAACACTGAAATTTGACAATGCCCAATTCTGAGCATTATTTTATTTTTTAAAATATCTTAACAATGTCGCACTGACGAGAATTATATCCAGAGACGAATTTAGACAACTGTGACGGGGAGAGTCAAGAAACTAGCCAAGTGTGGCCAAAATAAGGCTGATGGCAACCTTTTTTTGCTTTTCACGTTGATTTTTGTTCGATTTTTTGAAGCTGATGTTGCAGATATTGTTGAACTGACTATTATTTTATTATACGGTGCTGATGTTAATACTTCAGCTTACTTCATACAAGACCGTTTTTTAACTTTTAATAAATATTAATTTTGTCACGACAAATTTTTTCCAACAAGAATGAATATGCACTTTACTGTTAAAAAAATTATATGAGTTCAATCAATCAATCAATTAGCTTATAAAGCGCTATTTCCGCGATGTTCAACAGCGCTCCTCAATTAATTTTGAAAACAGATGAGTCTTGAGATCCGCTCTGAACTTTGCAAGTGATGGAGAAGTAGTCAGAGAAGTAGGTTGAGAGTTCCAGAGAAAAGAGTGTTAGAAGTGTTGGCAAAAGAGTGTTAGAGTTTTAGTAAAGCTGACTGATTTTGAAATATTTGTTTTGATTATGAAGGTTTAGATTTAAAAATTTTGTACTTATGCTCTTCCAAGCGAACATTTTTTAAATTTTCAAGAAAATCATTGAAGTTTATAGCGAAAAATCTAACTGATCTGTTTAGACCTGACATTAACCTACCCAGCCAACACGAGATGAATGATAAAAATTAAAAACATTGAACGTCTCAGGATTGAAATTGATAAAGGTGAACTTCTTAGATAGAGGCTTCATTTTTCAAATCAAGCATATACACGTTCCTGGTCAGTTGGTAATAAAGAAGAAAATCATAATGAATGAGTTCACAGCACTGACCTCTCTCGGACGTTTCAAAACTTACCAGCCGAAATATGCAACACGAATTCTCATTCATTCATTACTATCTTGATGTCAATTCAATTCAGTGGTACTTTAATGTTGAAGAAGATATTTTAGCAATTAGAAATGATTGTTCAAAAAAACTTTAAGAAACGTATAGTGTTGAATAATGACTTTTTAAAATTAGGTTAGACCTTATCGTTTTTAATAAATTCTCATTAGATTAAAAACTTAAAACAGCAGTTTCAATTTCGCAAGCAGATGCAGGTTTATTTCATTTATTTTTTTATTCGTGAACAACCCGCTGGCCTCCATCGTCAATTAATTTTTTCAATGAATTTTTACACAGTTTTTCTGCTTGAGACATGTTCAGTGCTAGATCTAGACTAGACAACTTTGACGGGGGGGACCAAAATTTTTGAAAGTAATCAAATTTTTACGGGATGGTCAAAATTTTCACGAGGCAGCCAAAATTTTCAAGGGGTCAAAATTTTTAGTAGTGTGGCTGACAACCTTATTTTTGCTTATAACGTCCAATTTTTGATCTATTTTTCCAATTTTCTACCTAAAACGGTCCTTTTTCTGACTTTCCAGACCCCACCTAGGTCCGCCATTTATACTTCATTTAGTTTTATGCTATCAGGAGCACCTTTTATCCCCAAATTTCAAACTGCTTACTTATTCTTTCATTGATATTTTTTCAACTGATAATGTGAATAAATTTGTAAATTTTGCAAAAACATTGAGAAACTACTTTACAGAAACCTCTTCCGGATTGATATTTTATGTTATGTTATATTAATTAATTCGTTCGTTCGTTCGTTTGTTCGTTCGTTCATTCCTCCATTCATTCATTCATTCATTCAATCATTCATTCAATCATTCATTCATTCATTCATTCATTCATTCATTCATTCATTCATTCATTCATTCATTCATTCATTCATTCATTCATTCATTCATTCATTCATTCATTCATTCATTCATAAACTGCTTGGCA